CTTTTCCCCTGAGTTTTGATTAACAAAGATTCTGAATTGTATTTAAACTGGTGACTATCTTGACTTTCCTCCGTGAATATTAGGGATCATACTTTCCATTTTACATTGCATGCTGATATAAAAGAAGTTGTATTTGTAAAGAAATATTGCATCTGTTTCGCAGTGCTAGAAAAAAATACTATTTGGAAGAACCTTTGCATGATCCCAATTTATCTTCTGTTTCCTTTTACATTACAATACATTTGGTACTCTCTGAAATCTATCAGAAACTTATCACTTTATTCCAGGAAAACTATAATTAATTCTCTCTGAAGTTTTAGGGAGCTTTTAATGTGTTTTTTTAAAAAGATAAAAAACAAAAAACGAGAGCTTTTAAATTGCAATTGTGTATGTGAATTCAAAAGTGTAGTAATCTTCTGTAAAACCTTAAGAGGTTTAAGTAAACTTGTGAATGGAATGTTGTTTGATTATGAAAGGCACACAATGAACACAATAAACAAAAGTCAGGAAAATGATTTCACAGTTGTAAATTGTTATAGTTCTCCCTCAGTATCCAAAGGGGATTGGGTACCAAAATCCACAGATGTTCAAGTCTCTTATTTAAAATGATGCAATATTTGTATATAATTGACAAAAAATGTGATGTACACAATGCTCAAACAGGTTCTGGAGAGAGAATGAGGATCTGTGACATGGTGGGAGGCTATAGCAGAATATACTTACATACCACATCATTCCCATGGATTCAACTTTGGCATGCAACTGAGGCTGAATCTACAATGTACAATTAATGCAATTTGACACCACATTAACTGCCATAGTTCAGCGGTATGGAATCATTACGGTTGTAGTTTTACAAAGTCTTTAGCTTTCTCTGCCCAATAGTCCAGGTCCCTCACTAAAGTACAACTACTAGGATTCCATAGCAATGAGCCATGGCACTTAAAGAGCTGGCAAAGTGCATTAATGCTACAAACTGCCTCGACTCATCTTCGGGTTGAGGGGGGCAGTATACAAACACGATAAATAAATAAATAAATACATAAATAAAGATGTATCCAATGTCTTCTTGGCTGAAGTCTGGTGGAATATGTTGTCCCAGTAGTAGTAAGATTCAACTATCTGCTTGACTTCTTTAAGTGAAATTATACAGAATAACATCTTATATTTTGCCTTAATATAGGTCAAGCTGGATCTAATACCCTCCAAACTGCTATACTGATTCACTAGAATGTCTAGTCCTTGGACCCTAAGTTAACTGGATCTAGGCTGTTGAATTATTATCATAGATTTGTTTAATTTTAATAATAAAAGTTATACTTCACTCTTAATGAAAATGTTTAATATTATTTCAGTAATATGTTCAAAATGATGTTACTATACTTCTACTATAGAAGTGAATATTATGTTGCCTGAATAATTTGCAGTAGTTACACCCAATCTATCATCAGCTTTCCCATTCTGTTGATATAAGCCTGCTTTGTTGTTGCTGTTGTTGTTTTGTTGCATGCATGATGAAAAACATAGCCAGCCTGCCTACCTAACTACCTATCTTTCTCCACAGAAAGTCAATTGCCTTCCTAAAAAAAGTCAACTTATATGACAGCCTTTGGGAAAGAACCATCTGATCTGCAGAAAATAGCCCAACAATGTGATTTGACACATTTCCTGGAGCCATGTCCCCAGGCACACTTTATTAGTCCTTGGCATGTGATAAATACCTTAAGAGCTTTGGAGCTAATTACTGCTAATTAGAAAGAAAGGCAGATGACATTTGCTACCAGAAACAAGTCCAGAAGCTCATGCTGAAAGCCAGTTTCACAAGCTAAGAATGTAGTAACAACTGGATGCAATTTCTATTTTTTTCAGCCATGTTTTGATCCTTGCCATCTGCAGAAGTAATAGGGAGAAAAGAGTTGGCATATGGGGACACAGATAAAGAACAGAGAGAGAAATTAGTGCACATTAGTAGCGGCGTTGCATCAAAGGTTGAATTAATTCTCCACTAGCTACAGTCAGATCAAGACCTGAAGACTTTTTAAGAGAAATTATTTAAGATCAATTTTAATGGGTGTGATATGGTAACAATCTGGGAGGCATTTGAAAGTGAAGGACGAACTCTCATAGCAACTGTATTAAAAGGGCCAGAGGCTAATAAGGAAATTTAATGGACTCCTCATGAATGGGTACTTTAGGCAAAAGTGTTATCATGGCTTTGTTCGTGACTTCTGTTTTAGCCTGCTGCTATATGCCAAATGAGAGCAGTCTGAAGACATTCAAGAACAGAGGCCTAATTAGCTCCCACAGCTTTAAGGCATACTTGAGCAGAGTCTTCTTGAATGAAAAGTATCTTCCATCCCATCACCTAAGATGTGACTTTCTCTAGGCAAAAGTTCTGGAGATACTGGAAACTATAAAAATGCTTGAAAAGCAAATCAACCCTGAACTCTCATTAGAAGCCAAATGACTAAGGACCTCATCACACGACCGGTGGCAGCCGGTGGTGGTGCTCCTCTTAAAGGCAAGGCATGGAGCGCTCATCTTGCCTCACACCACCTTGTCTTGTCTCGCCTCTCTGGCTGGGAGAACAATCACATGGAGGGAAGTGAGGAGAACGTGTGGCTCTCCTCCATGGATCTGGCAACACAGGAAACTTCCCATGTTGCCAGCTCCATGGGGGAAAGCTGCATGCACAATGGACTTGGAGATGGGGGAAATTATGCAATAGATGTATGCCAGACCTCTCATTGATAAGATTGAGGCTATCTATGGTGAGGATCCGGCATCCATGTCTCAAGCCAACTTGACCTATTGAGATGGACATCACCCCAAGTATTCATTCTGTACACTGGATTATTCCTATAGTGCTAACCAGAACTAACCATTAAACCCCATCAAGGACTCATTACATATTGCCACACCACAATCCTTTGGGATCACGTCCCTTTTGAAGGCGACCTATTAAATGGACTGACACTTCAAATGATCCAATGACAGTTTATTTGATTTCCTGCCATACAAAGCACCAATCAGCGAAGATATTCAATGGATTCCTGAGCCACTCAGGACGTGAATCCTAGTCACACTATTTTTCAACCAATCAAGAGCTGGCACAGGTTCCTTAAATAGCTGCCAAATGAAATAAACATGCTCTATATTCATAATTGTGGTATGTCGGTTCTTTGAAGCACTTTCTCCATTGATATTCTCTTTGGATATTGAGAATAAACCTTTGGTTTTAGCCTTCTATCCCATCTGGGTCTGATTTAGCCTACTGGATTAGCTAGACATGCTGGGCTTCCGAATCCATAGCTCATTCACAAGCTGAAATCAGCCAACAGACCTGAGAAGAGGACTTGAACTGAAAAAAGTGAGAATCTCAGCTTGCATTCCAGCAATGGGCACAGAATGGAACTGAAAAAAATCCTCCAAGATATTTTTTTCAAGGTGAAACAAACCTAATTTCAGGTCCTTAAGTTCCTTTCAAAACCGAGGATTTGAGTTCCCAAATCCTCGGTTAAATCATCAATTATGGAAGCTTTGAGATTTTTTTAAAATGAGGGGGCAATCAGCAATTGCAATTGGACCTCTAGTTCAAATACAGGCAATCCCTGAGTTACAAACATCCGACTTACAAATGACTCATGGTTATGAATGGGGGTGAGACAACAGAAAATGAGAGAAATCTACCCTTGGAAGGGAAATTCACTCCTGAAAGAATTATCATGAGGACAAAGTGTCTCCACTGAAGCTTTATCACCAATCTTTGTTTCCACAACTAGCCACACTTGTCAAAATCCAATAATCCCAGAAAGTGAAATCTTCTGAACAGACAGCACAGACAGCAAAAGAAACACTACGTGGGTGTTAATCCTTCCCTGTGATAAATAATTTATATTTTTGACTGAAGTTACATTTTTAAAATGTACCTGTTCTGACTTACAAACACATTCATCTTAAGAACAAACCTACAGAATCAATCTTGTTCATAACTTGGGGATTGCCCGTAAGAAGACAAACATTCTATGTTTGTCTACTCATAAGTAAATTGCAGCACAACAGCCCTCAAACATGTGCAACACAATCTTTTATAGTGGTGCCCGTTCTTGCAATTGTGTTCATGCTTGTTCACCTCCATGTGGCAGCATTCAGGCTTGCAAGGCCACAACTCATTTCTTTGGAACTACTTTCATCCTTGCAAAATACTATGTCTCAGTTATGTATGGTTTATTTCAAGTTTGAGTACCCCAAAGTACAATCTTATCTTCAAGAGCAGAAATATGTAGGGCACATGTGGAAATCTCATGAAACTTCTTTTTTTAAGTATTTTTGGAGATTAGAAACGTTACGTTCTGAGACTACAACCCTCAGAATCTCAAAGCCAATACCAAAAGGAACTGCAGGCTAATAAGCAACATTTTGTGACTTGGTTCATTTTCCCATTAACAAAGACTGTAGTTAACTCACATTATTATTATTATTATTATTATTATTATTATTATTATTATTATTATTATAAGGCAATAAGTAACAGGCTAACACATTTTGTGGTGTAAATGTAAAGTTTAGTGCTCTTATAATTACTTTTATTTGGAAAAGTGACTATGATTCAAGTGTTGTTTATGCTTTTCTCTTCCTGCTAACTTGTAACTTATTTGGGAATTGAGGTATGGAAAGGAATAATTTTGTCCACCAGCTTGGAGCATTCCTTATAATTACTTCAGAGGAACAAGAAAAAACTTTTAAAATAAATCATTTTAATCTACATTTGCAGCCTGGAGGCCTTGAAATTACATTTGTAACTAACTACTTTTTATATACAAAAAAGCAATTACTCAAGCTCTGGCTGAATTCCAGTGCTTAGCAATTTATGATGCTGACCTTTGGTTTATAATTTATTTGTTAATACCATAGAAGTTACGGGATCTGGCTGCTGGCACCCCCAACAGATATGAGATGGGCTAGGCGTAACATTCCTCTGTGTTGCTTAAGGCCTGTCTTGTGAAAGAAAGAGCAAAACAGACCGAAAGAGTCAGTCTCCAGAGGCTCAGAGACAGAGAGAGTGCCAATAGCTCCTTCTGGTTCTGAACCAGATTCCAATTGCAAGAGAGGAATCTGTTTTTCACCACCAGTTGCTGTGTAACTGAGTATTTCTGTGAACATGAAGGTAAGATAATAAAGACAATGCTAGTAATGTATAACCTGGGCAGCTTTTGTTGTTGTTTGACAAAAAGTCACAGTGCAGTAGCAGAGAATTGCAATAATTTGCTGCTGGGGGAGGAATGGGAATGAACTCAGGAATGGAAACATCTGGGACATATGTATTTGACTATTTGTATTTGCAAGCAGCAGTATTGATAGCAGCACCTGCTTGCAGGAAAGCTCATACTTGGAAAATCAGACCAAATGTTAACCAACACAGACTTCAATTATCGACAGTTGATTCTCTCTCTCCTTTTTCTTTCTTCACTTTTTAGGCACTTGAGATCTTTATTCTCTTGCAAACATTGGGCAACTTCCCTGTTTTTTCAAGGTAAGTACTTCCTTGATCCTTGTAAAATCTTTTATCTGAAACTGCATTTCATCCAGCACAGATGACTCCTGCATTACTTTTGGAACTACAGCTTCCAAAATGCTCTAGTGTGGCTGCAGCAGCTGCATTCCTCTTTTTCAGTTAATTAGAATTGATAGATGCAATTTATTTTCTCCTAGCAGTCACAATTAGGCTTTGTCTGCACCAGACTTTCTAAACATTTCTACCCTTGAAATAATTTTCAGGTCTCAGAGATCTCCTGTATACAAATTATCAGATCTCAAAGCTCACAAATCCATAGGTTTTGTGAGTTTTCTAGGCTGTATGGCCATGTTCTAGAAGCATTCTCTCCTGAGGTTTTGCCTGCATCTATGGCAGGCATCCTCAGCGGTTGTGAGGTCACAAGCTCTGAGTATGCTTCCATAGATGTAGGTGAAACATCCGGAAAGAATGCTTGTGGAACATGGCTATACAGCCCGAAAAATTCACAACAACTCAGTGATTCTGGCCATGAAAGCCTTTATCAATACATTTAATCCAAAGTGTTTTTTTTTTAAAGTCATGCTCTCTTATGGAACCTCCAATGACTTGTAGAAACCCGAGTTTCTGGGAACTTCTGGTCAGGAAACTCTGGTCAACACACAGAGAAAAAGAAGGGAAGGGTGTCTGTCTTTTCCTCTTAGGAAGGACTCATGCATCTTGAGCAAATGTGCTAATGGCACATGGGTACACAGAACAGTAGCAGCAAAATGGTGCTTTACATGTGTAATGTCTGGCTGCCAATCAAATAAGGCCATTACTCTGCTCAATTTTGAAGATGGAGTGTCCCTCCATATCTCACTGGGCTACAGCTCCCCTTCAAACTTGGTTATTGATTTTGAGCTGATGGGAGTTGGAATCCACCAGCTTCTGAACATCCATGAACACAATAGGCCCTTGTCCAAATATGTATTGAAGAGCTTGATTGAGCATCAGAGCATCTCCATAATGGAAGAAGCACTTCCTCAGTAGACTTATAGCCCTGTTGTAACCATGCTCCCTCAAAATTATATCCCACTGAATTTCATTAGGCTTTCTTAGACAAGGAATACTCTGAAATCTAACCTACAGTACCTGCTATTTGTTGATGATCTCACATCCATGTAGAAATCAGGGCTGCCCCTGCTTTGGTACCTTGGGATATTTAGACCCTTAGGAGTAATCAAATGCAAGATAATAAATGTGGGATGTCTCAAGACTCCCATCTTATAGAAAGCAATAGATCAGTGGTTCTCAACCTGTGGGTCCCCAGGTGTTTTGGCCTACAACTCCCAGAAATCCCAGCCAGTTTACCAGCTGTTGGGATTTCTTGGAGTTGAAGGCCAAAACATCTGGGGACCCACAGGTTGAGAACCAATGAAATAGATTAATGTGGTGACAATGTTTGCAAAGCAGAATAGAAATCTAGAAAGCACTGCTATGTTTGCTACAAGTCTAGCAAGTCACTGGCTTTCTTTAAATGTGCAAATATTGCATAGGAAGCTGCTTCCTATCAAGTCAGATTGTTTGTTCATGTAGTTCAGTACTGTCTATACTAGCTTTCCCTAACATAAGGTCCTTCTAGTGTGACAGACTACAACTTCTAAATCTCTGGCAAGCTAAATAGAATGGGCATTGTAGTCTAGCACAGTTGAGGACAATAGTGAGGACACTAGATTGATAGAGTACTTGTCTGTTATCCTTACTTGTCTGTAAGAAAAGATCTTTAGGGGTCAGATAAGTCTAGCTTCTATTCCTGCTTGGAGATGCTAGAGGCAGAATCTGGTACTTTCGGATGGAGAGGTTATACTTTTTCAGTTGAGCTAGACACATCCATTCTGCAATCTTTGACATTTTCCTCTTCTTTATACATAATCCAATAGGCCTCATTCTTCAGTTAACTGCAGATGGAATTCATTTGGTCCTTGGTCTGAGTGTGATGGCTGTACTAAAACTCAGGTAACATGTTTTAAGCTTTTCTCATTTGTAAATTATGTGGCCCCTCTTTCTTAAAAATTATGAAATAAGCACATTGACACATGAGCTTAAAAATATTAATGAGCTATACTTCCAAGAATAAGAGGGGCTGACCAAGGGCAAGATAGATGGATGGTATCCTTGAAGTGACTGGATTGACCTTGAAGGAGCCGGGGGTGGTGACGGCCAACAGGGAGCTCTGGCATGGGCTGGTCCATGAGGTCATGAAGAGTCGGAAATGACTGAATGAATGAACAATACTTCCAAGAATCACACAAAAAGAAGGGCCATTGGAAATGTTGGAAGATGTAGTCCTCAAATTCTCCAGATTCAAATTTAGATTCACAAAGATGACTTCACATAACAGATGCTGAGCACAACCTTGAGGGTGTGATTGTAATCACTTGATGTATCTATGTCTACAACATGCATAAACTATTACAAGTATGTGAAATCTGTTTTTCCAGATGGTGCTGAGCTACAATTCTCATAAAGTCTAGCCAGCTTACAACCTCATCAGATAGGTTTTTTTCCCCATTCTAGCGCACTGCTGGCATGCTGCTGGGTCAGACTCCTCCAGAGCCCATTATATGACACAGGGCTACTTCCAGCAGGGCTCCATCCCAGCAGCTTGCGGGCAACGCACTAAGAGAGAGCCCTGAGGAGACAGATGTCTTGGAATTTTAAAATACTGTTTATATTTAATCCTGGTTTAGTGTTTGCATATTTGTATATTTTAAATTGTATGCTGATTCTTTTCGTTTAAGCTGCTTTGAGTCTCCTTTGGGAGAGATAAATAAACATAATAATTATACAGGAAACCTTGTGGGATGGCAGCTTACAACCAACAACGGAAGGGGACGAAGCTTGGCGCTGCCCACCTTTTCCCCATTGGGATATCTTGACCATGACTACATAATAATAATAATAATAATAATAATAATAATAATAATAATAATAATAATAATTCCTATGTCATCAAAAACAAAAGAAAGAACAAAAACATGGAAGGGAACCTACCGTTTCTTTTACTTCAGTCGACTGAAATGTAGAGTAGTTTGTTCAGTTAGTTTTCAGTATTGTTTGCAAATGGAAATCTAGTTCAGTGATGCTCAAATGTTGGTCTGAAGTCCAAATGCATCCAGAAGCCCTACTCAACATAATTGTTGGTAAAATATTAGGAGGAACTGAAACCTAGAATATTTGGAAAGCCAACCATTGATAAGCACTTTTTTAGGGGAAATTGCCAATCTTTGATAACATTTCCCCCCTCTTTGGATTCATTTCCACTAATCTGGAAAGTGTAGAAGGTCATCACTATGTTTTTGGACATTTAGAGGCACTTGTATAAAAGGACACCCAGGAGGACTGAAGCCTAGATCTCTATTAATTAAAATTAAATTTATAAACTTTATCAATGACTGTATTTTTTCAGGGTATCTACCATAATTTCTGAAGTAAGTCTGATTCAGTTCAACAGGACCTGTTTTGAAATATATATGCATGGTCTCATTGCTTCAAACTGCAAGCTTGTGAGCTTGAGTTCCTATCAAAATGGGCATGGGATTGCAGCTTCAATTAAATAATTTGAATTACTCCAGCTTTCCAATGTTGATTGATTGCCTACTGCTAGGTTTTCCACAAAAGAATGCATCATCTAGGAATGGGCAGACAAAATTGGTTTTCATTTGTTGGTAAAATGGCCAACTTTTCACATAGCAATAGCTCTTAAATTAAAATGCAAATTATTTTTCTCCTTGTTTATTTTTTTTTAGAATCCATTACTTTAAGAGGAAAAACAATTTAGGAATAAAAAACGAACCAGACTCTTTCATCAAGATTTATAGATTCTTTTTTTTAAAGCAGCCTTCCACATGTATATTTCTAGTTGTGCAACACACAGCCTTTTGCCCTCAATAACACTGTGTAACTAAAATTTTAAATGTTCTGTTCCTAGTTTAAAAGTGTTATTTCCTGTTTAATTGTGCAGTACTTACTTTGAAAAGTAGTTGTACTCCAGCAACTTCGTTTTTGTGGCTGCCACAAACTATATTGGATTAGTTGAGACACTATGAAATATTCATTGAAAAACTATAGCAAAATGTGCTGCAGGATGTCTTGCAAAAACAAAGGTTTTGCAAGATAATAAATTTCCCCCATGTTTTATCATAGAACCAATTACAAAATGACATTTATAATCCAGAAACAAAAAACGTGTTGCATAGTGTAATTGTAATTGATTCAAGAAAACCCAACAAGTTTTGTGATGCAGTAGGGAACTGGCAACAAAGTCTCCTCTCAAAATGGGCATGAGATTGCAGCTTCAATCCTCATCCAGATTCAAAATTTCAGGTACTACACTTCACCATAAAGTACATGTTATCACAGTTGCCAAACTCTGTCTAGCTGACTCTGCTGTGCTTTTAACAGTGACATACTCACCACTAGCAAGCAGATTTGGTGACGCATATTTTCTACAAAACATGGAAAAGTTTGTTTGGGGAGGAGGAGAAGGGGGGACTTTATTGTTATGTACCTTTAGGTCAGCTTCAATTTTTGGCAATCCAACCAAAGAATTTATTTGACAAGATTTATTCAGAAAGAATTTGAATTGCCTTCCTCTTAAGACACAGAGTGATTTGCCCAGGGTTTTTTTGTTTTTGTTTTGTTTTTGTGTTTTTTTGTCGTGTCAGGAGCGATTTGAGAAATTTGCCCAGGTTAATCCACTAGGACTCCATAGCTAAGTGGACCATGAAATAATCAAACTATTTTACAATTTCCATATTTGGAAAGTCATATTTGGTCTCTTTCAGGGAATATATAATAGAGGAAATTGTCTCAGATTTCACATATGGAGACGTTCATATCAATAGTGTCTATCTGTCAGTACAGTTGGCCCTCTGTATCCACAAATTCTATATCCACGGAGTCAATCACCCACAGCTTGAAATCTTCGGTTAAGAAATCCCAAAGACAAACTTGTTTTTGCCACTTTATACACGGGATACCATTTTACTATGTCATTGTCCATAATGGAGATTGAGCATCCATGGATTTTGGTATCCATGGCAGGTCTTGGAACCAAACCACAGCGGATACCAAGGGTCTACTGTAGTCTCCTCAGCAATGAGGAAGATAGATAGAAAGAAAAACACTGAAAGAAGAGTGTGTCCCTTAACAGAAAACTAATATTCTATTTCTACGGCTAAATAATTGCTTTTGAATTTAGATTCGTAGACGAACCATAGCAGTTTATGGACAATATGGAGGACATCCATGTTCAGGTAGTTCATTTGAAACTCGCCCATGTGTTCCTACAAGAGGATGCCCATCAGAAGAAGGGTGTGGTGATCGTTTTAGGTGTTCCTCAGGTATGTTCTTCCAAAGGCCCTCATGATCCTTTATTTAAGGTTCAGCAACCAGTCGAATCTGTTTGAAATAAGACAGGCAGTTTCAGATATCTAGAATTCCACTGTGCAAATTCAGACAGTGCTTCCCAAAGAAATGTCCAAGTTTTAATTGAGGAAAGTGTTTTAAAGAGTGGTCTCTGGCTGTGGTCTCTATCACCACTGGGATGTTCTCCTTGATAGTTGCCTGAACATCAGAACCAAATGGAATTCTTTAGAACAGTGGTTCTCAACCTGTGGGTCCCCAGATGTTTTGGCTTTCAATTCCCAGAAATCGTAACAGCTGGTGAACTGTCTGGAATTTCTGGGAGTTATAGGTCAAAATACCTGGGAACCCACAGGTTGAGAACCACTGCTTTAGAAACAGATAGATCTGACAGTTTTGCTTCATTTCTCTCTCACGTTGTTTCAATCCTATGTTCTTTCCATCCTTTTTATGAAGAAATTTGTGAAGAAATCTTCAAATTTTAGAAAGTTCTTTTCAAACAAAGAACAGCAACAAAACAAAATCTAAAAAAATACTCTCTTCTCTCGCTCTTCTCTCTATATATATAAATAAAGTGAAGAGAATATCTTTATTTAACACACTTCAAAGCCACTATATAGATAGTATTAGTGCCTTGTTGTGCTATTTGTTATGCTACTCATAACTTTCCTGACTTTTGGGGAGGGCCCCTTAGATAGAAAAATAATATAAAGTTTGGGGGAAAAGTCAAAACTTTGAAAGTAACTACACAACATAGTTTCTTACACTCTATCTCTCTAGCTATCTATCCATAAAATATTACTCCCATTTACAATGTTATTCTCAGAATATAGTTAAATACTTCTTCATTACAAATACAATCATTTTACGTGCCCATGGGCATATGGTGGCTCCCCTGTCAGTGGGCAGGGCAGTGATTCTGGATTGCTTTTTATTACAAAGGAATTCACCAACCTTCTCAATATATTTTGTGACTATGGTTCAGTACTTTGGATAGCTCCTTTCAAGTTTAGGCTGAAACTCAAAGCACATTCATTGTCCTGTTGACATGAAAGCCATTGAAGGTAACTCATTACATTCAAGCTCTGAGCAGATGTCAGTAGCTACTCCATTTTGAAAGGAGCAACAATTTTCTTATGATATTCAGATGTCGAGGAAGTGGTCATAAAGAGGATTAAGGCAATTCTGTAGCTGCATCTCAAAAGCCTCATGATTATTTGTCCTTATGGATATAATAGGACAGTGCATTAGCAGATCATTAGTCTGCAATGGAGATCATGACTGTGAAGAAGATGGTGCTGATGAGGACCGATGTGATGAAGTCAAGACTATCTGTGAAACTATGAGACCTTCACTTATGCCCCCTCCTAATGTTGAGTTTACAGGAAGAGGGTAAGTTTCTTTTCTCTACTTAAGCTAAGTCCTAACTTTGAGTTTATAAAAACTGTGTGAATTTCCCTATCGTATGGTAGATGGAAATTCTGTAAGTAACCTGGACTCAAACCATGTAAGGCTTTAAAGGTCAAAACCAATACTTTGTCTGAAAATAATTGGCAACCAGTGGAGTGACTGTAGTATAGATGTATGCTCACTCCTGGATGTTTGTTTAACTAGTCTGACTGTCATGTATAGAACTAATTGAATTTTCTGAACTTTGTGCAGAGGTAGTCCAAATTAATGCACATTGCAGAAGTCCACACTTGAGGCTACCATGTGCACTTTATGATATGAAAGGGATGGCAAGGGGAATTGGAATCAAGATCATTCGGACACTGGCCCTGTGCAGCTACAGAAAATGTTCATGGTTTCTGAGAAAGACAGAGTCCAACTATTTTGTCACATGGCCACCAGAATTGCTGTATGTTGTCTTGTGTCATTGGGGGCCTGGGAAATCTGGCACCCCGTGTCCTGTATCGCCTGGCTCCAGATTTCATTGATCACATGGGAGGAAGCATTGACTGTGCAGCTTCCCCCCACAGATTCCTATGGCAACACAGGAAGCCTCCCTTGTTGGAGTGGTGGTAGTATGTGCCAGGTCCACTCTACTTCACCCATGAATCCCCAGTGGAAAATTGAGCGACACCCATGGCCAGAGTCGAACACAGCCTCCAAAGTACCAGTAATAAGATGGGAAAAACAGTCTTTACCTCTGTTGTGTTGTCTGTTCTGTTACTGTATAATTGGCATTAAATTTTTGCCATATGTGTGTTCTGTAAAGTCACTCTGAGTCCCCTTCAGGGTGAGAAGGGCAGGATATAAATACTGTAAATAAATAAATACTGAAGAAGAATGGCTGCTAAAAGACAACTCCAAGAATTGTAATTTTGCAATTGAAGAAGACTAGTGTTTGGGGTTGAATTCTCCCTAGTTCCAAATACCTACTCATTGCTTCTCTATCCAATTGACTTTCTGGCTCTCCAGCACTTGGGCAATGACATCAAGAGTGAGATATTTTGCTCCCTGGCATCTCCTTTCATTCCAGCTGCAGAAGGTGACAGGACTGGCAATTGATTTTCCAAGGCTGCCAGTCATGTCCTCAAAGATATGCCAGTGGGTGGGATAGTGAATTTGAGCTGGCATTTATTCCAAAGGAGCTATTCAAAGTTCCTAAATCTGTCTTGTGAACGTGGCAAGCACACTGCTCTGTTTTCCAAAATAATGAAATGAATGCTTAGGAAGAACAGCTCTGTATTTACATAACTGTGTAGGTGTGTTTGTAGAAAAAATTGGCACCAGAGATGTGGAAAGAATATGGTAGGTTCCTATATCACTCACACACACACAAAGGGAATAATTAGTGCATGTTTACCTAGGCATCCACATCTGACAATAATGATTTTTTTAAAGTTTAGTGTTAGTATGCAGATGTCCATAAATCTGCGCATTCAAAGTTGTGGGCTAAAGCCTGGAATAAATTCATGCCCTACCAATATGGAAACTACCAATCATTGCTTCCTCGGTTCTGCAAAATTTAATTTTGAATGTACAGTGTAAAAGTACCATTGCATTCCTAAATCATATAGTTAATTTCACAGTCACTGACATAGCTCTTGTTGATTACAGGTATGATGTCCTTAATGATGAATTAAAAGCTATGGTCATTTACACTAAGAGTTTCGGTGGTCAGTGCAGAAAGGTGTTCAGTGGTGATCAGAGAAATTTCTATCGGCTGAGTGATAATATCCTTGCTTACACATTCCAGGTATGTTTGTTTTATTTTGTCATACTGTATAATATTCAATGCCAGGGGAAGCTTCAGAATTTTCTTTGAACATTTTTTTAGGAGGATATGTAGAAATCTGCATTTGTCAGACTGTTTAGTTTTCCTTGCATAAACTTTTATGAACTTTCATGATTATTGTTGGCTTCTCTAGATAATCAGCATTTTCCTAATTTTCCTAAATAATTTCATTTTTTGCTTCTGATGGATAGTTACAGTATTACATTTAAGTGTGCACTTTAATTGGAAAGGGAATTTAACTGTACACTACCAGGAAAAATACAGTTAAAGATTTATAGATACAGAGATATTTACCCACACAGGGAGATATCTGTATATTCCTGTTAAATTATATATTTTGGGAATGCCGTTGCTATGAGTCTGTAAATCTGTTTAAACACAAATACAGATAAATGCATTTAAATAGGTGAGAAAGGATTCAAAGCACATTTGCAAAGAGCTTCCTGCCTAAATACCCCAAAGGCACCTCATTCTGTCTGAGCTGGAAATCTAAGCAGGGTCAGTCCTGGAAATTACTTTGATGTGAGACTGTCTGCAAATATCAGGGTCCATAGTCTATGTTTTAGAGGAAGGACCTGACAAAGCCATTTCTGAGTATTTCTTGCCTAAGAAAACCCTATTAAATTAATGTGGTTTCCATAAGTAAATAGACAATTTGAAGGCATGTGCACACATAGATCAAACCCCATTCAAACTTCATAAACCATGTCAACATTGTGGTGGATCAGAAGGGATTTGGGGAAATAGAAATAGTATGTGTGCCTCCATACCCTGTCCTTATTTTAAACAACCATGTATTCAGGAAGAACCTTGAACAGCATGCAAAAGTGATATGGATCATCAGTTGATTCATCAGTTCCTAGCAATGACCACAGGCCCCATATCCTTATACAAAGGGAATCTCCGTAATGCAGGAATTGTCATTCAGCACTCTGTAATGCTAATCTCACCTACTCCCTTCACATCTCTTTGTCCACTCACCATAAAAGTCATTAGTCTCCTCTCCCTGGTAGTTCTTCTTTAATCCCCCTAGTTGAGTACTTGCTCCAATCCAACATTAATTTGCTTTGTTAGTAGCTTCAAAAGAATAATAGCAGCATTTTTTGGAAGACTTAATAGAGAAATTTAGAAAGCTTTTTCAAACATTAAAAGTAGTATAATTTCTGTACTATAATGTTAGTTATAGATCAGAGATTGGCAGCCAGGTTACTAACTGGAGCGTTTTACTGTGAAAGGAAGACTCCCATGCTGCAGCCACTCCACTGGCTGGTGTTCTGCTTCTGGGCTAAATATAAAGTGCTGATCATTACCTATAAAGCCCTATATGGCTCAGGCCCAGACTATTTGCAAAACTGCATCTCCTCTTACAAACCGGCTCGAGTACTGAGATCTGCGGAGGAGGCCCTGCTCTTAGTCCCATCCCCATCTCAAGCATGGCTGGTGGGAACGAGAGAGGGGGCATTTTCTGTGATCACCTCCTGCCTCTGGAACTCCTTCCCAGAAGAACTAAAAACTGCCTCTCCTCGCCTTTAAAAACACACTTATTCACTTTGGCGTATAGAGAGGAGGAAGACTAATACATCTCGATATTTGCTATCACCAGATATGTTAAATCCTATCCAGATACTGGAATTGATTTCAGCCTGTTAGCTGTTGGAATAATATCACCTCTAGGTCTTAACTTTTTAAATATGCTATCCTGTTAATCTATAATTATATGATTATGTTGGTTATGGGTTATTTAAATTGTATTTTTGGTTAATTTTTATTTGGTATTAAGTTTATAGTTACATTGCTTGTATATTGTTTGATGTATTCTGTTTTGATGCAATTTGTTTATACTGTTCTTTGTAGGCATTGAATGTTTGCCATATGTGTTGGAAACGTCCCTGAGTCCCTTCAGGGAGATAGGGCGGTCTATAAATAAATAAATAAATAAATAAATAAATAAAAATAATAATAATTCTGACACAAAAACACAGCATGACACAGCAAATGAGATATATATGCTGGATTTCGTATCACAAAATCATAAGTCGAACACAAAACATAATAATAATAATAATAATAATAATTATTATTATTATTATTATTATTATTATTATTATTATTATTATTATTTCCCCCCCCTAAACACTTGGGAAGGAGGGGAATTTATTATTATTATTATTATTTCGGGTTTTTTTGAAATTTATATTTAATTGTTGGGAGTCTCTGGTGTTCTTGTGCTTGTACCTTGAACTTGCTGCAGAAGCAAGCCAGTTTGGTATCAAGAGGGGAAATACAGTTGTTTTGTAGGAGGAGTCTATTTATGAAATAATACTTTTAGATTTCTTTTATAGGTTAAAATTGAAAATGACTTCAACACTGAGTTTTATAATAGTAGTTGGTCTTATATGAAAACTACAGAGACACGGATAAATGAAAATGGGAACCACGATTACAGAAGAAATGATTTTCAAGAAGACAGTTCAAAGGTAAAAAAAATTAAATCTCCGTTTCTTCTTTCTTGAATGAGCAAAGATTAGACCAGCTCAGAAGGTCCACTTTTCTTGGAGAAAGGCAGTGTCATCACTAGGGTTGGTGTCAACCAGTACACTAATTCATTTATCACCTTTATGGAAGGATACATTAAGTTTTGTTCAGAGTCCCAGCCACTGCAGGCAAAATAGCAGTCCCTGGTGATGATGCTTGAGAGCACTTGGTTGAGAGATGGATCTCTCCACCTTTCATCCATCTAGTAGAAGACTCTTTTTCTTTTCCTTATTATGTTTTTTTGAAAACTGAATACCACATATTTCCATGCTTGTAGCATCTTAAAGGGTTGTGGAATAATTCTGTGGCCAAACAGCTTTGAAGGCTCTTCACTTTGTATTACAAAAAAGCATGGATGGTGAGTGAATTCTAGAAGACCCAAAAATAACTATTCTAAATCTTAAAAAGATATGAATACAATGTTTGGGATTTGTTCAGAGTAATGAGTTATCTGTCATCATGTGAGATAGCACAAGGTAGAACAGGATAGCAGGCCTGATCAGGTATCTGTGCAAGATAGTCCATTGACCTGACTTAGCGTAGGGCAGTTTCCTATGTTCCTAGAATTAAATAGTATATCAATTTGTTGTTTAACCAATAAGCACAAGTTATAGATCCTATTTATCAATGCCTTTCTGTGATCAGGAAAAAATAGTTTCTTGAGATAAGGGTTTATATGCTTTGCCTTTCCAGAGTAACTTCCTGATGGTTATTGAAAACAGCGTGGAAGTTGCTCAGTTCATCAACAATCAGCCAGAATTTCTCAACCTTGCTGCACCTTTCCGGGAAAGACTTGCTAAACTTCCTTCCTTTTATGAATACAATGCATACCGAAAATTAATTGAAGATTATGGAACGCATTTCCTGAAGTCTGGATCTTTGGGAGGATATTACAAAGTGATATTTCATATGGCAACAGATAGTGTCAAAGAAAAAAGTAATACGCTAAGAGACAATCCTAAAATATCTTCATTTTTAGAACATGCAAAAAATATATTCTAATTTGCAGGGGTTCAGTCTGTAAAGCCTGTTGATATTAAAATGAGCGAAAACTTCCTAATGCAATATGTTGTTGTTAAAAGATGTTTGTGATGGCAGCATATCCAATCCAAATACAAATAGCTTAAGTTGATTTACAAAATAGATTTGTAACATTCTTGTTATTTTTGATGGTTAAATAGGATAAATAAAACTCATTTATAGGGTGGGGTGGGAGAACCAACAGAAAGAAAATGTCTTGCAAAGCTAGAAGAATTTATAAAGGGAGAAGGAAGTTGAGTTATCAATCAGCTGGAATGAAGAATCTTTGGCTTCCAAATCTCATGGACTACAGTTTGTAAAATCTCTCACAATTTGAAGACTCCCATTGGCCATGTTGGGCTACACAATAAATCACCAGAAGCTTAAGAATCTACATGTAATGATATCCATTTTAAAAAGAAAAAAATTGCCATGGCTTAAGTGCATCTGAGAAATTTCAGTTTTGAGAAGATACTACTTTATGTCTCCGTTAAATCTCTCCCCTGCCCCCTCCCACTTCATTCAGCTGGTATCCACACCATTAATATTCATACATGTATTAAATACCTTATTTTCCAAGGAGTGTGGCAAGAACTGCTAAGTTGATCAATTTCCTGTCATATAGTCTAATTTTGAAAAAAATATATAGATTTTTTCTGTTTAATTTTTACAGTGATGAGGATTTCCCAGTCCTTGGAAATGAGGAAAAAAAACAGATCATTTAACAAGTGTATCCTCTATGTAAAAGAATAGAGCCCAATTGCTTTGAGAAACAGAATCCTGAAACATATAAAAATGATGATATTTTCTATTGCATTGTCAAAAGTAATGGCTCTCTCTTGCATTAGATTTGTCCACAAGAGACATGTACAAGTGTACTTCTTCAGGGGTTAACCTTATATTTGTAAAGAAGACAAAAACAGAATGTGAAAAACTAGATGAACTGTTGCGTCAATCTTCAGGTAATTCCATGTTTGTATATTCTTGGGAAGGTTTTCATTAATAGTATCCTTCCAGGTTAATGGGTCAAATATTTCATTAAATGGTTTGTTGTGAGTTTTCCAGGCTGTATGGCCATGTTCCAGAAGCATTCTCTCCTGACATTTCACCTGCATATATGGCAGGCATCCTCAGAGGTTGTGAGGTGAAAGCCAAATGATAAGACGTTCCTCAGAACTGGGCTTCTGTGTTAAAAGGAATCTGCAACTTCATGCAAAAGCAAAGACTCTCTCCTGAAAACATGCAGGCCTGAAACATATTGACTGTTTTAAATAGTGTAGACTTGTTAAATAAATTATTAAAAGAGAAGTCAAAATTTATGGATTCATTTGGCTTCCTCTAGTTGGGTCTACCAAAGCAAGCAGGTCCTAGCTTGACCAGAGATGATGTATAACTATTTTTAATCACCATACCATCATGAACACATCCAATAGCTCATTTTAGAGCTAAGCAGGGTTGGATCTGATTAGCATGTGAATTAGGATCATCAAGAGATACAAAATTCCTCTAAGCTGGCTTTGGAAAGAATCATGCCTGAAATCCTGGAGACCTGCTCTTAGTCAGAATTAGGAATGCTAGGCTTTATGGTTTTGACTCAGGGTGCATTAACAATGTAGAATTAATTTTACAGTACCGATGTACTTTCAGTATTAGGAATTTTCTTATATTCCCTGTGTTCATCCCGTTTGATAATATCCAGATTGTTTTATATTGATCTGCCTTAGTTCATGCAAAATAAACTACCTATATTGCTGACTCTGACCAGCTGCATTAACTATATCTTATCAGTGTTAAAGCATATCCACTTGTCACTTTCTGCTGTGGCCCAGTCTGTGTATATGTGTTTTGTGTGTGCGTATGTGTATATACTTGTGTATATGTATATATGTGGTTTTGTACATGCCTTGTAATGTATTGTTTTGGCTTTTAAAGTCTCCTCCACTGAGTTTTTCAGTGTTTTTATGAGTGCTGGTCACTCATTGGCCTGATAGGTGCATTTTGTCCAAATTTGGTGTCAATTCACCCAGTAGTTTTTGAGTTATGTTAATCCCACAAACAGACATTACATTTTTATTTATAAAGATTTCCTGTTAATCAAAAACCCTTTATGCAGGAGGGTTTTACCACAATAATAGGGGCAATACAGCTGCATTGAACTGAAACCCCACATACTTATACAGCATTAGCATACATTCTAAAGTGGTTGTGCCAGCCCTGCAGTGGTTATGTCCACCTGCCATCTTTGCCTCCACCACTATGGGCCTTGATAGGATGCCCACTATGATAATTGGAGAGGTCTCTTGTTTGTAAACTACAACCTTGACCACCCATACACTCCAATGTTTCACAAATAAAAACTGGGATGGTGTTGCTGCTCATGCATGCCTTCAGGTTTTTTCTGACATGGCAAAAAGGTGACCCTATCACAGGTTTCCTGGGATTGAGAATTTGTGACTCACCCAAGATCATCCAGTGGGTTTCCAGGGCCAAGTAGGGAATGTAACTCTTGTCTCTAGAGTTGTAGTTCAAGCCTCACACTACTACACCACATTGGCTCTCTAAATCAGTGGTTTCCAGGTGTTTTGGAATCCCAGAAATCCTGGCCATCTTACCAGCTGTTAGGAACTGTGGAAGCTGAAGTCCAAAACACCTGGAGGCCCAAGGTTGGGAACCACTGCTCTAAATGAATCATACTTAATGAAATTGCTAGGGGCAGTTCTAAAGTCTTAATTATATATTCAGTCATAGAGTTGAATATGCACGTATTATAGAGTTGACTATGCTAGCTATATCAATCTCTGTCTTGGCCTTGTCGGTGCTATCCTGGTTCCCAGAGACACTGACCTTTCCTTTACAAACCATCTCTTTAGTCATACAGATTAGAGCCTTTGGCCTTTATGGGACACACAACCTTCAAGATTGTTGCAGCATGCTCCAACAATCATTAGTTTTTATGCATGTCAAAAATACAATGATGTGTGGTAGATTTTTCTGTACTCTGCGTATGTTTACCTGCTTTCACATATGTAGTTTTTTCAATTTCTCTTCATAAACACTAGGATTATACTAATCATCCCATGTCATCTTCTCTTGTATCTCTGTTATATCACACATTTCTTTGTTTTAATGTGGTATACTTCACACATTTCTTCAGGTAGTTCCTCTGGTCGGATAAAAGCAATCCCATTTGTACAGGGTGGGAGCCCTGGAGATGTTGCTGGCCTTAGCTACTTGGATTTACAGAATCCTGCTGGAAATACTGAAAGATATTCCCGCTGGGCTAGATCAGTGTCTAATTCTCCTACTGTAATTAAGCAGAAGGTAAGATGATGATTTGTTCCTTTATCTGATGAACTTCCTCCGCACAGTCAAAAGGCAAGGTTTTTAAGTGAATGGAAGCAGGATGCAGATTGCTGTCTTGGCTACTGGCATCCTTTCGTTGATCCTGTCTTCTAAACAGAGCTTTCGTGCATTATAAATTGCAGTCTGCGTGTGTGGTTGAGAGCTCTGCAAAACACTGATTCCTCAGTCACATTACAAGGATCTACATGCATGCAGCATGTGCCGAATGTGGACATACTCTGTTTACAAAGAGTCCACCTCAATAATACACTTTATTTAGAGTTACAAGCAGGGAATGCCATGGATGTAGCATACCTGGATTTCAGTAAGGCCTTCGACAAGGTCACCCATGACCTTCTGGCAAACAGACTAGTCCAATGTGGGCTAGGCAAATCTACGTTTAGGTGGATCTGTAATTGGTTAAGTGGACGAACCCAGAGGGTGCTCACCAATGCTTCCTCTTCATCCTGGAAAAAAGTGACAAGCAGAGTGCCGTAGGGTTCTGTCCTCAGAAATGTGCCCTTTTTTGTGCAGTGACACAAAAGCAACACAAAACCAGGAGGCTTTTGTGCAAGAAAATGCCTTCAAAATATTTTTTGCCCCAAAATCCCAAATACAAAAAAGTTAAAATGTGCAAAAACTCTTTTCAAAGTTTTGCAATAAAAATAGGATTTGCCTTTTCTCTCATTCTCCTAGTTTACTTACTTACTTTACTCATTGTCCAAGTAGGATCACCTTCCAAGTGTAGTGTCTTGGCTGTTTGTCTGTAGGTGACTGTGGAGCCCTGTTCTTGACCTGCGTGTTCTTCCACAGTGAGGGCATCGGTTTTCAGGTGGAAGGCAGTCCTGGTCAGGGTTGGCATGACATGCCTTCCTCTTGGCACATTTCTCCCTTTCACTCTCCATTCATGCTTCTTTGAATTCCACAGCACTGCTGGTCACAGCTGACCTCCAGTTAGAGTGCTCAAGAGCCAGAGCTTCCCAATTCTCAGTGTCTATGCCACAGATTTTAAGGTTAGCTTTAAGCCCATATTTAAATCTCTTTTCCTGTCCAACACTCCTGTTTCCCATTCTCCTACGTATACAATACCAAAGTAAGCAATTTTTTATATCACCATATAACTCTTGCTGAACCATATCCCCTAGAACTTACTCTTTGGAATAAGAGTGGGATGCAATCAGTCTGAAAGAGGATTTTTTAAAAAACCTGAATACCTATATGTTCATTGTTTATAGATCATACCACTGTATGAGTTGGTGAAGGACATACCTTGTGCCTCCGTCAAAAGGATTTACCTCAAACAAGCAATTGAAGAGTATCTGAGTGAAAATGATCCCTGCAAATGCCAACCGTGTCAAAATGGTGGTCAACCAACCATTGTTGGAACTCAGTGCCTATGTTTTTGCAAACCATATACCTTTGGATCAGCTTGTGAGTTTGGAATTCTTGTACAGGACCAACCAGGCAAGCAATCTCTCTTTTTCACATTTGTGACATTCATTCAAACTAATGAATGAAATAACTAAGGTATGATGTATATGTGTATATGTGTAATGGTTGTTTCTTACATTATTCAGGAGTCGTCAATGGTGGCTGGAACTGCTGGTCATCTTGGAGTCCTTGCAGCTCAGGAAGGAAATCAAGAAGCCGCAGCTGCAATAACCCATACCCTAGTGGTGGTGGAAGCTCCTGCATTGGAGAAACAGTTGAAAACCGGCAGTGTGAAGATGATGAGCTGCGGCACTTTCGGTAGGAGCGCTGGTATAGCACCAGTAGATCTGGGTAGAAAACATGTAGGGATTAGAAGGATAGTTGGGCACCTTTCCAGAACATGGAGTGCCATACCAACATTGACCAATTTTTTTCTGGGTCAACCAACAGAAGACTTTACTGAGCACTAGCATATTGGCTGCTTCAGGCCATTACATACCCTCCAACATTTCACAGAGGAAAACTGGGATGCATGTGGCCAGCCAACTTCAGAGAGTGGTCAAGATGGCAAAAGATGGCAAAATAAGGAAGAGGCCATAAGATAGGAGATGCTGAAGCTCATTGCTTTTGCCTCATTGTACTGAGAAGAGCAAGATGATTGTCCCCTCTTCTCATTTCTTCCTTGCTGCGTCGGTTGAGTGCACACCACTTTACCACTTTTCCACTTTTAATTCATTTTACAGCAATTGAAATTAGCTTATGATAGAGAGAAGTGGGAGAAGGAGAGAAAAACTGGCATGTTTTAAAGCAGCAGAAAAAGTGGGACAATAGGGAGACTTTTTTAAAAGTCACACATATATGTTGCACACAAACACATTTTGAAATTGTCCATTAGGCGAATAGTCTTTATGATGTTGGGATGGAAGTATGGGAAGAAGAGCCCTTATACTCAGTAGCATTTTTATTATTTTTTTCCAATATAAAAATACAGTACAAAATATACTAACAAAAGAAGAGTAATCAAAAGAGAGTAAATGACAAAGAAACATATTTTTTACACTTGATTTAATAACCGCTTATATTTTACTATATATAATAACTCAAGCGTTACTACAGTTCATTTTTTATCTTAAACCTATGAATTTTCAAAACAAGATATTATCTTTTTCACTTCAAAAAGATAATATGAACAGATGCTCCCTTTCTAAACAAAAAGAAAGAGTATCTCAAATAATATGTTCTTCTAACTTATTACCTTACCATTCACCACCTGACGTCTGTTGGGAAGTAGCAACCTGTAATGAAAGAACCAAGGCATTGACATCTCTGGCCCATCCTCTGTTCAGATATCAGCCAGTAAGCCAATGCTTTAAATCAAGAAATAGCTTCCTAAGATCCAGAACACCTCAGCAAGCGAGAGTCCAAAAGTGGCAGGCTAAAACCCAAAACCTCAATTAGCCAGATGAGATACTCCCCCCTGGGCACACAGAAAACTTAGAAGGTGCTGAACAGACTGCAGTCTGGAACCACAAGATGTAGAGCTAACCTTAAGAAATGGGGCTACAGAGTGGAGCCAACAACATGCAAGTGTGGAGAAGAGCAAACCACAAACCACTTACTACAATGTGGTCTGAGCCCTGCCACATGTGCAATGGAGGACCTTCTTACAGTGACACCAGAGGCACTTGAAGTGGTCAGCTTCTGGTCAAAGGAAATTTAGTATAATGCCAAGTTTTTAACTTTGCTTGTGGTTTTTCTGTACATTATAACTATATTCTCAATTAGCTTTTGACACGATAAATAAATAAATCCAACATGTCACCATAGGAATAATACCTTGTCTACATATTTCTTCCCCAAACTAGATATCCACAAAATTTCTGAATAGAAAACAATAATCTTCAACCACTTACCGTATATCTACCTATCTTATATTTAGTTCATGTCTTGTGATAATTTTTTAATTTTCTCTTTAAACTTAGTGTTACCAAAATCCAGTCTTTTTACCTAAAAACATTTATATTTGATATGTATTTTTGCTAAATTCCCACCATTGTAAAAAGTGGACATAATTTGCTCAAAATAAGTAAACCTGCAATGAGTACTTCATCTCAAACACATACTTCATCTTAATTTTAATCACTCTGTTTAATACCCCTTTAGCTGAGTAACTATCTTTTCATTTCTTGTTTTTACAACTCTGCCCTGAAAACCTTTACTATCAATGTAGTCATCCACAGCTGCCACCTGTTCTCTTCCTCATAGTAGGCTCCTCTCAATCAAACAATACTTCTTTCTTGTCTGAGACTAAAGCACTCTTTGTCTTTTATCAACTTCTTTCCACCTTGAGCTTTCCCATTTCCTTCAATAGAGGGAAGAGAGTTGCACTCTTCATCTTCCTTATTATGTTCTTCAGTTGTTTGCACGCCAAATCCTCTCCAAACACTTGTCATTGCATTTAAATCCTCTCTTATTGATTTTACTTCTTTAAGTATTTCAGCAATATTTTC